TTCTAGAATTGTCTTAGATCATTCTGTTGATGAGAAGAGCTAAGTCAATCATAAGTGACTATCACACAGTGTTGGTTTGTATAATATTCTTCTGGTCCTGCTCACTTCACTCAGCATCAGTTCATGTAAATCCGGGTTTTTCCTGAAGTCCACCTGCTCATCGTGTCTTATAGCACAATAGTATTCCATTGCATTCACATACCACAACTTGTTCAGTAATTCCCCGACTGGAGGATTGTTGTAAGGATGAAATGAGATATTTGTGAAGTGCTTAGCACAGGGTCTGACATGTAGTTGACACCATATAAATGGTATTCCCTTCCCCTTCCCAAACATGTTGCCCTCTTTTTGAAGAAGGCAGAGCTTATCAAACTGTGTGCAGACCTTAGGTAGGGTTTGAAAAATTTGTCTCTTGTTCTTACTGTCGCCTGGAGGCTTTGAACTTTCATGTAACATGTGACAACTCATCCCAAAACAAAGACCAATGTGCAATAGAAAGCAGAATTTTCTGGCATTATGATACGTATACAGGTAGTTCTATCTAAAAAACTATACTATGCAAATAAAGCAAGAAAAACCATGGGGCTTTTGTGACAATAGGGGCACAACACTCACAAACTTTGTAGGTGATGCATCTTTAAAAAGTAACATAGTTTTATACATATTAAATGGTTAAGAAATACCTCAATACTATAATCAGTAGTGGTCCCATTAGGATTCTAATGCTGCTGCTCGGCCTGTTGCACCCTGCATAGGAATAGGCTACAGCTAAAGGCTAGTGGCAGAAGGCTCCCACTGCACCAGAAGATGTACTATTAATATGGCGATTTACCTTGACAAAGATTTGAAGTTTGTGAAAGTGGGTGGAAGGGATGTAGCTTGTGAATTATTGTGAAGTAATATGGTTTTCTGCCTTCTTACTGTTTCTCAAGAAACTTGAAATTCACATAATGTTAAAAAAAATTCTGCAGGTTGTCAATCGTGTTGGAATAAATTCACATTTTTGACACACGTTAGAGCAGAACTATTTATAAAGAGGAATGTTAAAGAATGAGAGATTGTGTGCAGTAGGGCAGACAGGGTTGGCCTCTACCTCACATTGTCTGTTTGACCCAAGGGTTTGGACTTCCAGTTTTTAGTTTCGTTTGGCTTTTCTTCGTATCCTTAGTGTTTAGTGCCTGATACATAGTAATCCCTATGTATATGAAGATGGCGGAATAGGTCAGAAATTTATAAGATCTCCAGATTTTCTGCACAAACAGATAGAAAATCACCACGAAATGAATGTAGAGCAGCAAAAATAAAGTGGTAAAGTAGTTGTCCTCCTAAGATAGCTTGAGAGGACCTCAGGAAAGACAGAACCTCCAGGGGTTATATAAGTATTAGCTACTATTATTATTCAGGCAACTCTCAGAACTTTTAAACAATAGCGCAGGTACAGATCTGTATTAGTAGAGGGACTTTCCTTGCTGGGAGAGCATAAATAAATCCAATAAAATCATCACCAATTCTAGTTCAAAAATCTTTAAGAAGGCCTTTCATAGGGCCCAGCAACAAATTGCACCATTGGCACTGCCTACTTTGTCTACCCCAAGAGTCAATATAAGAACTATCCACATGAATGGTGATTTTGTGTCATTTGTAAAATTATAATTGAAGAAGTCAGCTATCCAATGTCCCTTTCATTAAAGGGACATGACAAAATTTTGCTTGTTTAGTACTAGGAAAATGTCTGTCTTTGATCAATGTTTTCTTAGATCTTAAAATGAAAACTACATTTCACTATATTTCTTTCTTTTTGCCCAAGGATCTTAGAGCCAAATGTGTCACCTAGTTATAGTAACCAGCTCATCTCAAGAGCCTGGAAGCTTCTATCTTCTTTGCTTCCATAGGATGGTATTGGTTCTGTTCTTATCCCTCTTAGCTTATTATGTTTATTTTTTAATATCCTCATTCCCTTCTGTATGTCAGCAGTATACATTCCTAAAAATATAAATAGTTAATATAAAATTGAAATATAACAATAAGTTAACATAATCCAAAATGATCTGGTACCTTTTAATAACCATTGCTTACTCATTATGTACTGAATGATCTTTCAATTTCTCAACTTGTCATTCAGGGCCTCCCACAGCCTATTCTAGGCCTAACCTGCCTTTCTAGCCTTATAATGCCCCTTCAGATAGTTGACATTCCATACCCTTTACCATTTCCCATAGTCATCCGGTCCTTTCCTACCTCCAGGTCTTTGCTCAGACCTAAGACATATCCTCTCCACCCCTCTCTTTAACTTCCTCATCTCTACCTGTTGAAATCCTTTCCCTCCTTCAAGGCCCAGCTCAGAGTACTTCTTTAATCTAGCCTTCCTGGACACTCTCTTTACTCTGAGTGGGGTGTGGGAAGTGAATAAGCTCCCCTTTCTTAAATTTCTCATAGCACTCAGTAATTTTGCCCCATGCTTAGAACATTCTATTCTGGATTATAATTATTTGTAATCTGACTTATCTCTCTAGTAGATAGCAAATTCCTTGAGGGTTAACCATGTATCTTTTTTAGGACCTAGAACAGTGCTTTTTACTGAGTAGGTCCTCAGTATAGATTTTTTGACTCGAATTCATCTGAATGGAATGTGTCCATTTAATAGAAACACAAGAAACTTAATAAGGATGACATATTCTCCTTTCCTATTCCTTGTGTCTCACCATAAAGTCTAGATGTTTTAAGAATGTAATTTTAAAATAAAGAAATGTTTTAGATGTCATACTATGGACGGTTTTCTCCAAGATACAGTGGAAAGCATGCTGAATTTGGAGTCAGAGGACCTGGGTTCACATCTGAGCTCTGGCACTTTCTCCCTTTGTGTCTTGGACCTAGGGCAAATTACTTAATCTTGCTGGGTTTCAGTCACCTTATTAGTAAAATGAGGGTGCTGGACTTTGAGGGTCTGTAAAGGTCTTTTCTAGCTCTGAATCTATGATTCTATGACCATCCCTTGGTTGGGAAACTGAGGCTGAGGGGAAGATTGATTTGCCCTCTGAAGTCCATTATAGAGAAGTAGATGTCTTGTAATAAATGCCTTATGGAGTCACCTTTTAGACACCAACTACCACCCTCCCCACTGAGTTATCTGTATTCTTCCCTTGTCAGTTAGCATATGCCACCTGATAGCATCTCCCCAACTAGACTGTAAGCTTCTGTAGGGCAGGGAGTGTGTCTTTTATGTCTTGGTATCCTCAGACTCCATCATAGGTGCTCTATAAATTTTTTCTGATAATGGTGTTGATGAAATAGGTCCACAAGCCTGGATCAAGGTGAGTCTGAGGACTTCCCTGTGCTCTGGAGATAGTCTGTTTCCATATCTTTCCTAATCTGAAGGATCAGGACAAAGAAAGTTCACTCTAGTCCAATGTTAAGGATAGGAGTCACTCCAAGGTAGTATTGAACCTCCATTTGGGTTTGGGACCTATAGAAGTAACTGAACCTGTCCCAGTCAGCTTTTGAACTAAGAGAACCCCAGCAAGGCTAGATGACCCAGGCCCGGAGCAGAACTAGATGCTACTTAGAGGATTACAATAAGGGACAGAAGGCCAAAAAAAGCCTTCTCCTGGACTGTCTGCCCCAAGACATTTGCTGTTTTGACAAGAGTCAAAAAGAAACCAATCAGGAAAAGAGCACAGGTCTTCCATCTCTGAGACTCCTAGACCAGACCAGGCTATTGGTTTAGCAGTGAACTTGACCCAGACATATTTCTGATATTTAAGGTATGAGTCTAAAACAAAGGCAGTGTGGTAGCAAAGAACTGGAAAAACAAAGTGGGTGTCCATTGATTGGGGAATGAATAGTTGAACAAACTGTGGTATGTGAATGTAAAGGAATATTATTTGCAACAAGAAATGATAAATATGAGGTATTTAACGAAACCTGATTGAATTTATATCAGCCAATGCCTAGCAACCTAAGTAGAATCGAAAGACCGGCATACACCATAATGTCTAACCATATAGGTGAAAAGATCCCTAAAAGAGAGCTAGACTTTGAGTAATTGAAAGACTAACAATGATCCCAAAGGACAGACAATGAAAAAGATCTCCTTCCTCTCTGTAGAGAGGTGGGAGACAACTATGGCAAAGTGTTGCATATGTTGTCAGAAATGGTCATTATATTGTTTTTTTATTTATAAAATAAATAAAATTTATGGAATGAATTCTTAGTTACTAGAGAAGATTCCATTATAGGGGTGGTAGGAAGTATATGCAGAAAATGATTGTGATGTAAAGACAAGAAAATAATGGTGGTGGAGGCTGTGATAGGAGGAGGAGGAGGAGGAGGAGGAGTAGAAGTAGTAGTAATAATAGTGGAAGTAGTAGTCCTAGTCCTAGTCCTAGTCATAGTCATAGTCATAGTAGTATTTTGAGATCCTTTACAGAACACTTATGCCAATAAGTGCTAGTGGTAGTAACAAGTGGTGGTAGTGTTTTTGAGGTCCTTTACAGAGTACTTTCCCTCCTGTGCAGGAAGTAATGCAAAGATTAGCATCTTCATTTTACAGATGAGTTAACTGAGAAGGAAAATTAGTTGTTCGTGGCCATACAATTAGTAGTAAGCATCATACCTGAGATTCAAAACCAGATCCCTCCTAACTCCAAGTCCCATACAACTATTTGTTGCTCTACCCCTCTGCCTTTATGGTCTCATGAGTCAAAGATACAAGAGCCGCATGGAAAGCATTCAGTCAGTCAATAACATTTATTAGGCACCTACTGTGTACTAGGCACTGTCAATACAGAGACAAAAGTGCAACAGTCCTTGCCTTCAGAGAAGTGACATTCTATGGGAGGAGACCACCTAAGGATATTTGAAGATATGCCCAGGTTTGAAGGGTTGTTGTTCTTATCTGGCATTCAGCGTCAAGGATGGGGAAAGGCCAAAAAAAAAAATGTGGAGAGAAACGCTGAAATTAATTTTTGTGCCTTTCTTCCCCTCTCTTCCCTGTGCCCTAGGTCCCATGAAGAAGCACCAAACATGAATGTGAAAAAATACCTGGTGAAATGCTTGCACCGCCTGCAGAAAGGGCCGGGCTACACCTACAAGGAGCTTCTGGTCTGGTACTGTGACAACACCAACACCCATGGACCCAAGCGCATCATCCGCGAGGGGCCCAAGAAGCAGGTCATGTGGTTTATCCTCACCCTGCTGTTTGCCTCCCTGGTCTTCTGGCAATGGGGCGTCTTAATCCAGACTTACCTCAGCTGGGAGGTCAGCGTGACCCTCTCCATCGGCTTCAAAACCATGGAATTCCCAGCGGTCACGATCTGCAACGCCAGCCCCTTCCGGTGGGTTCTATCTAGACATCCCAGCAGAGGAGCTGGGAGGCAGAGTGATGAGGAAGAGGTTGAAAGGGAAGGAAACTCAAGTAATAGTCAGTGCTCATAGTGGGACAGACCCTAGAGGAGATATTGAAGAAGGAAGGTGGTACAGTGGACACAGGGCAGGGAATTCTGGGGGCTTTCCCCAAACACTTGAGAAATAGTTTTGTTTTTGCAAAAAAAAAAAAAAGAAGTGAGATTTAGAAGATCATTTCATAGCATGAAAGGGGCCCTGCCAAAATCTGGTCATCCCCCTATTCCTACTCAGGATGGTTGCTAAATGGATATACAGGTTTTCTCAAAAGTCCTAGTGCAGTTTTAAGCTTTAATAGTTTAATAAGATTTAATAAATGAAAACTCTACTAAGGCTTTTGGCACACCTTGTGTAAGGATTCTTTCTGAAAAAAAGGAGATTCTGAATCTCTAGCATTAACCAATTTCTACTATCAAGAAGTTCAGCCTTGGAGCTAACCTAAGTTCCTCTCTGCCCTCAGAGGTGATAGTCATGGAAAGCATGGTGGCAAATTAGAACTGAATTTGGAGTCAGAAGACCTGGGTTCAAATCCCAGCTCTGGCACTTAATCCGTGCATAGCTTTGGGCAAGTCACTTAATGTCTCCAGAATTCAAGTTTCCTCATCAGTAAATCAAGGGATTGGATATTACTGAACATGGCCAATATGAGAATTTATTTTGCTTGGCTATGCCTGCACATATGCTTATCAGCATATGCAAGAGTTCTGTTTTTGTTTTCCACTGGGGTGGGAAGGGAGGGAGGGAGAAAAAATAAATGCTTGATAACTGAAAATAAAATAAAAGGCTTGGACTAGAATTAGGAATGGGGAGTCTACAGCCTTGAAGCCACGTGTGGCCCTCTAGGTCCTCAAGTGTGGCCCTTTGACTGAATCCAAACTTCACAGGGTCCTCAGGCACAGCCCTTTGAATGTGAAGTTTAGATTCAGTCAAAAGGCCGCGTTTCAGGACCTAGAAGGCCCCATGTGGCCTCAAGGCTGCAGGCTCCCCAACCCCGGCTAGATGATGTCTAGGTCCCTTATAGCTCTAAATTTATGTTCCTGTGATCCTTTCCATGTAATCTGTGCAGATTTATAGACTATATAAATAATAACTTAGATTTACAAGGCACTTTATAGACATCTCATCTGTACCATTACAGATAAGGAAACCAAGGCCCCAGGCCCTTTTCCTTTGCCTTCATCTTCTCGTCATCTGTGTTCACTTTTAACAGGGTTCACGTTCATGGAACAGTCAGTATGTGTTTGTCCATGTCTGAATCTCATAAACCTTAGGAACCTCGGTTGCTCACCAGGGTTGTAGTCCTCTCTCCTACAAAAAGTACCCAGAGCAGAGACATATCACTTCCATTTGGAAGCCTTGGGGAGAAGGTGGATCTGAGATTGGTTCCGTATCCCTTTTGATGAAGTCTTTCCCCCTTCTCCCCCATGTAAAATCTGTATGGGTGAGGCTGGGGCAGGTGTAGATAATACCAGGGAGGAGTTCCTCAAATTTCCCCTCCCTCAATATGCACACCAAAAAAGGGTGGTGTCTGATTTGTACAAACAAAATCTTGAGCTGTTCGATTTTTATAACCTGTCTGCTAGGCTGGTTTGTTTGCCCTGTTGATCACTCCAGGACCCCAGCAGCCAGGCAGAACAGCCAACTGCAGATCTTTCTGGTTCCGGCCTGTGATGGATGGCACAGCCATCAACTTGTGCCTACCTCTCCACACCCACCTGAGGCGTTGGGAAGGGGGTGTCCTCTCTTTTGTGGTTTTAATGGCAGCAACTTAACCCTCCTTAGTCCTTCCCCCTTCCCTCTCCCAGTCTCCTTAGCCTGTCCTTATATTAAGTCATCAGAACAGTAACACCATCACTCTGGTTTTCTTGAATGGGATAACAGCCATACCACAGGAAGTCAGGATGATACAGCTACAAGCTATTTAATTAGGTCCTCCTCAGTCCATCAGGCAATTGCTGCCTTCACCCTCATGGCATACCTTACTCCCTTAGGTATTCTAAGGTAAAGCATCTTCTGAAGGAGCTGGATGACCTGATGGAGGCCGCTCTAAAGACTATTCTAACACTCGAGTCTGGTCCTGATAATGTTAATTACACAGAAGGCCTGAACATGACCATATGGAACCACACACCCCTGGTCGTAATCGATAACCGAGACCCCTACCACTCTGCTATCGTGGACCTTTTTACCTTTGGCCGTAATATTTCCGAAGCAAGCTCCCCATCTCCACAGGGGACCTGCAATGCCCAGAAGTGCAAAATCGCCATGAGGCTGGTAAGTAATCACCGGGAAGCATGTACAAATGTTTCCTCCAGGACTTACCCAATAAATGAGAACTTACATTGAAGATGTATTGAAGAAACTGGGCACCTATGGCCTGTAGAAGAGAGGTCTATGGGAGAGGTTGGTGTATAGAAGACAGGACAGCCATCTTTGGATAGTTTTAGAATTGTCTTAAGCAAGAAGGATCAATCTTATTCTGCTTGGACCCCAGTGGGAAGAACTAGGAACACTGGGGGGAAATTATGTCAGCAGATTTCAGCTCATATAAGGAAATATTTCCTATCAGAAAGCAATCTAAAATAGTGAGAATAATAAAAAGCTGATACTTATATGGCACTTTAAGATAATAATTATAATTATAATAATAACTAACACTTTTAAAGGACCTACTACGCACCAGGCACTGTGCTAAATGCTTTACAATTATTATGTCATTTGATCTTCAAGCAACAGGTGCTATTATTATCCCCATTTTATAAAGGAAGAAACTGAGGCAAGCAGAGATGAAGTGACTTGTCCAGGGTTGCATAGCTAGTGAGCATCTGAGGCTAGATTTGAACTCAGGTCTTCCTGACTCTGTGCCCAGCACTCTATCCATTGTGCCACTTACCTGCCAATAGTACGTTATGTCATTTTGCAAAAAAAGTTGAATTCTCCTTTGCCCAAGGGCTTTCATGGAAGGCTGGTTTTGTTTAGTCATGTTGCAGAAGGAATTTTTTTTTAAGACAATTGGGGTTAAGTGACTTGCTCAGGGTCACACAGCTAGTAAGTGTCAAGTGTTTAATCTGAGGCCGTATTTGAACTCGGGTCCTCCTGACTTCACGCGCAGTGCTCTATCCACTGCACCTACCTACCTGCCCCCAACGCAGAAGGAATTCTTGATCAGACGTGAAGTAGACTCAAGGACTAAGACGTCTGAGATTCTGTGACTTTGTTTCTTTCAAACCCTACATAGTTACTGAGGGAAGAAAAGGCAGACACTTACAAATTTTGGATGTGGCCATTTATCAAGGCAGCTAATTGGCACAGTGGATAGAGAGCCAGATCTGGAGACAGGAAGACCTGAGTTTACATCCAGCCTCAGACACTATCTAGTTGTGTGACTCTGGGCGAGTCACTTAACTGTTGTCTGCCTCAGTTTCTTCATTTGTAAAATGAGGATAATACTAGCACCTACACCCCCCCCCCAGTGTTATTCTGAGGATCAGAGGAGATCTTATTTATTTTGAAAAGCATTTAACATAGTACCTGGCACATAGTAAGCACTAATAAATGTTAGGTTTATTTTTATTATTGCTGATATTTTATCAACATCAGTATCAAAATGAAATCCACAAAATCACAGAGTCTGATGGTTTGAAGGGACTTTGGCAGCCATCCAATGAAAGGGATCCCCACTATATTTCTTTTCAACCAGTACATGTAAAGCCTTTGCTGTTGTGCCTACGACTAGGCTAAGGATATAGGGGAAAGAGATGTTACTAACCTCTGCTCTTAGGGAACACCCAGTCTCTGTCCTGTTAAGGGCTTTAGGCACAATGTTATATATTGGAAGTGAAAGTGCAGGACAGACTGTTGTTTGGTGGAGAAAGAGGGTGGGATACCCTTCCTGGGTAAAAAGCAGCCATCCTGGGAACAAAGGGCAATAGTCATTCTTCCCAATTAACTCAGGACCCTCCATATTGGGGTTTCTTGGTTAGTGAAGGACAATTTGTTCCCAGTGTCATCCCACAGGCTGATAAGCCCATAATTGGTTGGTTATTGTCCTTCATTCTTGAAGAGGACCAAAATGTTGATCATGTTTTCCTAAGGGGGAAGTTGGCCTTGGGAACAGGAACAGTCAGTACCCCACCACATACCAGCTATAGGAAAGGCTTCCCTGAGACTAGCCCATCTGAAAGTAATGTTGCAACCTTGGTCAAATACCTAAGGGTTACGAAGGCACGCTAAGACTTTTCCTGTAAATCCTGGCAGTTGGATCTCAGATTATATGTATGAGAATTTACATGTATATACATACATCCTTGTCTGGGCCCTGAGCTACCTCATATCTTGAGGGAATTCCCACAATTAACATAAGCAGACCCATTTTCCCACCTCAGTGATAGATTGCCCAGAACTGGCCAGTCAAGGTCAAAGGATCATAGATTTAAACCTCAGAGACACCTTAGAGGTTATCTAGTCTCATCCCTTTATTTTACAGATAAGAGAATTGAGGCCCAGAGGGGTCTGTCAAGAGTTTTGCCCAAGGTTCCCAGAACTTGGATTGAAACTCAGGTCTTCTGACTCCATTTCAATGCCCACTGTATCATGCTGGCCTTAGAGGTCAGAAATCTATTTGCATGTGACATTGAAAAGTCAGTCCTTCCGCCATCGGTAAAACACAGATCTCGAGCTCTGTATGACAACAAGGCTAGGTTTGTTGAGCCCCTCAGTGGACACAGCTGTTCAGGTGCACATTGTTCAATTACTGACAATGTTGTGAGGTACAACAAGAAGAAGAAAAGGGGGCAGGGAAGCCGATAATTTTGGATACCCCAGGACATTCCCAAAGTCCTCTAAGACCTTGAATGAGTAATTTTACTTAGATGTTAAAGCAGCTTTTCAAGATGAAAAAGGAAAGGATCTTGATTCTTGCTGCCTACTTAGGACTTGAGCTAAGTTAGATGGCAGTCATCCTTCAGAAGATAAACACTCTGTCTCTCGGGACATCTGGGGAACCACCACCCAGGTGACAAGGCTTAACCTGAGGTCACCCAAGAGCAGAAGCTCTTGGACCTGCTACAGAGCTAGCAGGATCCCCAGGGGGACCACGTCTCTCAGTCAACAAGCATTTACTAAGCCCCTACTATGCGCCAGGCACTGTGCTAAGCACTGAGGATACAAAGAAAGTCAAAAGATAGTCCTTGCCCTCAAAGAGCTTACACTCTAATGGTCTCAAAGCATGCAAAAACATCTGTAGGCCTTGATGTCCCTTAGAATCTCCTGCCCTTCTATCAAAAACAGACATAATTCTGCATAGGTTAAGACTGCGGTGGGCCAGGGGAAACCAGGAGAGGCAGGCAGGGAGATGGAATGAGTGATCTGTACATTAAAGACCAGCTGAAAACAGACTTCCCGCGTTAGCAATAGCCTGCTTGGTGAGAAAGTACAGTCAGAGTGCTTAATTAGGACTTGAGCAGACTGATGACGAAACACACCTCTTGTCTCTCAGCAGAGAGCTACAGAATGAGACAAGTGTTTTCAGACACAGCCAATGTGTTTGGTTGTTTTGCTTGAATGTTCTTATTTATTACAAGTAAAGGTTCTATTAGTAGCAGGAGGGGTCACAGAAAATAAATAGTGATTATTTTTTAAAGAATATAAATAGGGGCAGCTAGGTGGTGCAGTGGATAGAGCACAGGCCCTGAAGTCAGGAGATCCTGAGTTCAAATCTGGTCTCAGAGCAAACACTTGACACTTACTAGCTGTGTGACCCTGGGCAAGTCACTTAACCCCAATTGCCTAAAAATAAAAAAAAATTTAAAAAAGAATATAAACAAAGCTTTTAAAAAGGAAAAAAAAATAGAAGTACAGTCAGATGACTAGGATGGATGTCAGGGTAAAGGCTTGATCTTTTTTCTTATTCATGGAGAAAAGTAATGTATCCTCAGTATGGAGAGTAAGTATGATTCTCAGTGGCACTGAGTAGAAAGTGGAAGAAAGGAAAGAAGGAAAGAAGGAACAAGTAAGGAAGGAGGGAAGGAGAGAGAGAAAAAGAGAGAAAGGGGGCAGCTAGGTGGTGCAGTGGATAGAGTACCAGCTTTGGATTCAGGAGGACCTGAGTTCAAATCTGGCCTCAGACACATAACACTTACTAGCTGTGTGCAAGTCACTTAATCCCCATTGCCCAACCAAAAAACAAAAACGAAACAAAAAAATGAAAAAGAGAGAAAGGAAGGAAAAGGAAGGGTAAGGGAGGGAGGGAGGGAGAAAGGAAAGAAGGAAGAGAAGGAGGGAAGAAAAAGCATTTATGAAGCACTTACGATGTGCAAAGCACTGGAGATACAAAGAGGAAAGCAAGACAGCCCTGTCTCTCACAAACTCACACTGTTACAGAGGGAGACAACACATACAGGGGGTTTTGGCAGCCAATCATGTGGAAAAGCCTTATGGTCTTTAGGGTGTAGTGGCAAAGCAGAAAGTAACACATCTTCTTTCATATCATTTCCATCAATAAAACCTTATCCATTTCCAATATTGAGCAATTTGTCCCAAGGGAACAGTCAAAGTTGCTGCTTGGCCCTATGGAGGAAGGGGAGGCAGAGTAAGGTGGAAACATCAGAGACAGAGACAGATTTAGATGTGGAGAAAGTCTGATATTCAGGAGGCAATGTGGGGGACAGAAGTATTCACACTGCCTTAGCAGTTATGTTGAAGGAGTCCTAGAACAAAGATCACAAATGATATAATTCAAAGGGTCCTTAGATACCAAACCCTCTTACCAAGAAGCATCTGGATTTCATTGTCTCCTAAATTAAGCCATTGTCCATAGCACTCCTACAAAATGACCTGAGTTATGGGGATCGAGAAAGGAAGACCTCCATTTGGAGGGTGACAGTCTACCAAAAGCCTGTTTGTCAGTTCTGGCCCAGCACTGCCTTACCCTGGATTTTCCCCCCATCCACAGTGCAGTCAAAATGGCAAAGTGTGCACCTATTGGAACTTCACCAGTGCTGCCCAGGCAATGAAAGAATGGTATGTCCTACAGTCCACCAGCATCCTCTCTCAGGTTCCCCTGGAAGAGAGGATTCAGATGGGCTACTCAGCAAACCAGATGATCCTGGCCTGCCTATTTGGGGCAGAACCCTGCAATCACAGGTATGGACACTTCTCTTTTTCCTGTCTTCTCCTTCTCCTCCTTCTCCTCCTTCTCCTTCTCCTCCTTCTCCTTCTCCTTCTTTTTCCTCTTCCTCTTCCTCTTCCTCCTCTTCTTCCTCCTCCTCTTCCTCCTCTTCCTCTTCCTCTTCTTCTCCTCCTCCTCTTCCTCTTTCTCTTTCTCCTCCTTCGCATCCTCCTCCTCTTTCTCTTCCTGCTTCTCCTCCTCCCCCTCCTTCTCCTCCTTCTTCTCCCCCTCCTCCTCCTCTTCCTCTGTACAGAATGATCCCTAGCACTGTTGCCAAATCTCAATCATAGGTTCCTAGACTAGAAATGGACTTCAAAATTCACCTAGACCATGTCCAACACAAAGGTATATAGTCCAAGCACTATTATACCCACTTTACAATTAAGGGAACTGAGACCAAAACAAGCTAAGTGACTTGCCCATAGTCATACTACAGTAAATGTCAGGGCTAGGATTTCAACCAGGTGAGCAAAGTCTCTCCTGGCTCCAAACCTAATGGCACTCTTTCTGCTACACAAATGCTTACAATGTGCAAGGCTTTAGTGATAGGAAGATGAAATATGGTGCTGTCTCTGCCATCAAGAAGCCAACTTCCACCAGGGGGAAATACATGTACCCAAATATTAGTCATGCTATAAGAGGGGCAAAAGAGAGAGCTAGACAATGTGCTTAAGGAAAATTCAAGGAGGTAGAGATCACCTTCTCCCAGTGTTATCAAAGATGCCTAAATATCCCTAGTTCCTTCAACTGATGCTTCTATGGCTTGATTTCAAATCCCATCACCATCACACTAGTCCAATTATCACATTTTTACATATGAGGAAACCGAGGCCTAGAAAGGCCCACCTTGAATGGTAGAACTAGGATTTGAACCTGGGTCCTCTGATTCCATATCCAACATTCTTTCCACTATTCCACACTACAGGACTCTGGCTAAATCCTGTAACCTACTCAATGTGGTCTGTGCCAGGGCACACCTTAAGTCTTATCTATTAAGTCACAGATAGGTTGTGAGATCTGTTGGTGGAGGGAATCCCTCACAGTTCCCTGTGGTGGTAGTAACAGGTGACGAAACCCCAAGATCCTCCTCTGTTGAGGCTTATAAAGCACTTTACATACATTTTCTAATTTGGTCCTCACCTGTAAGGTTAGTACTACAAGTATTATCCCCATTTTACAGAGGAGAAAACTAAGGTTCAAAGAGATTAAATGACTTTTCCATGGTCATCTAGTTAGGAGGTACTAGAGTGAGGACTTGAAACCAGATATGCCTCTCTGGACTACAAGTCCAGTATTCTTTTCACTGTACTAAAATGTGTCCCTGGGGCAGCTAAGTGGCGCAGTGGATAGAGCTCCGGCCTTGGAGTCAGGAGGACCTGAGTTCAAATCCAACCTCAGACACTTACTAGCTGTGTGACCTTGGGCAAATCACTTAACTTCTCTCTGCCCCAGTTTCCTCATATGTATAAAGAGAGATAATAATAGCACCTACCTCACTGGGCTGTTGTGAAGATCAAATGAGATAACATATAAGCATAAAAAGCTTAAAATTTCACCAAGACTCTTGGGACCCCAGAGCTTTAATAGCTTAGAACTGCCCTGAGACTTTTGGGTCACCAGAGCTTTAAGTTTTAATAGCTTAGAACTGCACCGAGACTTTTGGGACCTCAAAGCTTTCATAGCTTTAAGTTTTAATAGCTTAAAATGGCACTAAAACTTCTGGGACACCAAAGCTTTAATAACTTTAAGTTTTAATAGCTTAAAACTGCACTAAGACGTCTGGGACACCAAAGCTTTAATAACTTAAAACTGCACTAAGACTTTTAGGACACCCAGTATGTAAAGTGTTTTGTAAATCTTAACGGGACACATAAATGCTAGCTATCATTATTAAATGTTAGTCATTATTACAATTGTTTGCCTAAATCGATACCTGAAAACCATGGAGTGTTCACATCTACCATTTGGAGTAACTCTATTTTCCTTTCCTTAGCTGTTTTGCAGCTTCTTCTCAAGCGTTTCCCACCTGCTGACTGTCTAGGGCACTTTCAAGGAAGTATGGTGCTGTGGAATGAGGACTGGCTATAGTCATAGGAGCATAGATTTACTGCTGGGAGGGACACTAGAGGACAATAAGTATAACCTCCTCATTTTACCAATGGGGAAACCAAGGCCCAGATAAGGTAAATGACTTTCTCAAGGTCACATGGCTGATAAGGACCTGAAGTGAGATTTGAACCCAGGCCTTCTGGCCTCTGAGTCCAGTGCCCTATTTACTATATCACACTTACTGCCTCTTGAGTCAGATTTAAGTTTCCTACTTATTAATTGTGGGACCTTGGCCACATTATTGAACTTCTCTGGCCCTCAGTTTCCTCATTTGGAGGGTGTTGGACTAGACAGCTTCTGGGGTCTCCTTCCAGCTCTATAATTAGAAGCCTAAGTGTCCACCAGACATAGCAGCCAGAAGACACAGCCCAGAGAGATTCTTTTCCTTATTATTCCCTCCCCTTTTTTTATTTGGCACCTTGAGTTGTTCCATGAAAATGCTTGAAACTGCCTTTGCTCTCAATAAACTATGTTATCCATGAACAAATAGTTTGTATTTGCCCAAAGTGGGGAGCAAAGCAGAGATTGCAGACTGAAACTGGGGTGGTGATATAGGCCCGCCCTGCCTCTCTCTCTCTCCACAATATTGTGTTTCCCGGGCTTCAATGTGGAGTTACAGCATGTCCTTGGGAAAGGAGAACACCCAGCAGGTGTGTCTTCTCCACCAAGGAAGAGCCTGGCTTCAGTTCATTTGGCCAATGCCAGTCCCTCTAGGGTTTCCTGTGTCTGCGCTGGGATTCCGTGTCAATAGCACTCTTAGTTTGCAGGTTGAAGGCCAACCCAGGGCCTGTATTGAGACTGGAGATTGTCTACTCCAAACTGGTGACCCTTTGAGAACTCCCTGATATCATGCCCTCTTTCCAGGTCCTACTTAACTAGCCCCAGTAAATACCTCCTTCCTCTCACCTGGAGTTCATAAGAACCTTCATCATCATTCACATGTCCCCAGTGCTGGGACAAATATAGCCACAAGGAAGAGGGGAAAGTTTGTTTGACCAAGACGGATATCGTATTTCAATTTCCTCTATTTGCCTGGGTTCCCAAAGTCTCCTTTCCCAGCCCCTTTCTCTTGAATCTATTGGCAAACAGTGTTAGTGACATTTCAGCTTTTGCCAAGACCACATTCACACAAGACTGCTACCTTCCTGAAAAGTAACTCAAGGAAGGGAAGCCAAAACTGACACCATCCATGTAGCTCTCAAAGTGATTTCTATAGGTGATCAATGAAGATCGGATTGTTTTTAGAAATCAGTGCAATGACTCAGACTCAAGGAATGGGCTTGACATATAAGGGGCATACCTGAAGCCCTCTGCTCAACACTGGATGTTTTTCTGAGCAGTATTTCCCCCTTCCACTAAACACAGGGCAGGAGGGCTGAGCTTAAACTATAGTTGGATAGGATTCAATTAGATATTAGGATCAACTGCATGAGTATACAGGTTGTGAGGCCATGAAATGCTGTGTGGGAACAGGGGCGAAAAGATTGGAGTTAGGATTGGGATACCTGGGTTCCAATTTTGGCTCTGCCATTCAATAGCTATGTGACCTTGAGTAATTTACTGCCCCTTAATTTCCTCTTTTGTCAAAGAGATTTGGAGTAGGTGGTCACGTTTCCTTCCAGTTCTATGATTGTTACGAAAAGAGGTCATAGACAATCTTCATTCCTGAGAAACAGGTAACAAAATGTGTTCCCCCTCCTCAATAAAAAAGCGGAGCCCCACAGGGTCAGAATGTTGAATACGTTGTCTGACGCAGTCACCTCTTAGTTTTTTTTGCATAAGTGTCATTCTTTGTTGCAAGGGTAGAGTTCAAGCAATTCTCTGCCTGAGTTAGGGCTGGGATGGGAGGCACCCCAAAATGACTCTGATGCAAAAAGAGAAGGCATCCAAAAATCTTATTTAAAAACAAACCCAAAGGAGAGGAAAGGGAGTAGGGAAGTTGTATGATCTCTTCTGGGGACTTTAAAGAAATCTATCTGAGTTAATGGGGCAGCTAAGTGGCACAGTGGATAGAGCACTGGGCTTGCCATCAGGAAGATTCATCTTCCTGAGTTCAAATCTGGCCTCAGACATTTAACTAGCTGTGTTACCCTGGGCAAGTCACTTAACCCTTATTCCCCCCAGTTCCTGATCTGTCAGATGAGCTGGAAAAGGAAATGGCAAACCCCAAAAGGGGTCATGAAGAGTCAGACACAACTGAACAACGACAACAAAATCTGAGTTAATGCATTAGAAGTGAATACGCTAAAGTCCTCTAATCCATTCCCTTGGCATGTGACTTTAGATTTTGCAATAAAGAGGAGTTCTGGGTTCATTTCTGAATCAGGTGGGGTGGTCCAGGATTGAAAAGTAACCAAACTTAGCAGATGCCAGCAATGAGGCTGGGGCTGATACCAAGACCTATCCTGGGTATTTCTGTATCTGTGGCACAGCCACTATCACTAATGAGCACTTCTTTTAGGAACTTCACTGCAATATTTCATCCTGACTATGGCAACTGCTATGTCTTCAACTGGGGCATGAATGAAAAAGCCCTACTCTCCTCCAACCCTGGAACCGAGTTCGGTAAGTTGTAGAAATAGGCAAGGGCTGTCCAAGGGACAGTCACGTGCCAGAATCTTGGCTTTTCAAATCCGATATAATCCAACAAGCATTTATTAAGTGACTGCTTTGTGCTAGGCATTATGCAGATGCTAGAGACAGAAAGACAAAACAAAAACATTCCCTGCCCCAGAGGAAAAAAATAGGGTATTTCTTCTTATCGAATTCCTAGCTTCCTTCAAGGCACAGCTTCTGGTATCACCTATATAAGACCCTTCCCATCCTTAGCCTATCTCATATTGTTGGCATTCTCCCAGTGTTGAAATTCTTCTGTATCAATTTTTTAAATATTTTCTTTGTATTTACTTGTGTAAATGTTAGATCTCCTGCTCTCTGAGAGCAGGGGACCACTTAGCTTTTGTCCCATACTAGCAGCCAATCACAGTGCCTAGTACATAGTAGGTTTTTAATAAACGTTGAATTGAATTGAACTGTGCTTCCATCATGTAGGGTAGAAACCTCAAAATCCCTTCTAACACTTAGGAAAACACTAAGAAATTAGGCAACCAAGAATCAGAATCTCCTTTTCAAAAATCTGATTTTTCTTGCTGTTGAAAGTTCCTTTAAAAATCATCTAAGTAGGAGTTTGGCTTAAGGTATCAGATGGGGATCAAGAGGGGATCTTTTAACTCTATCTCAAAGATCAGCAATTATAGTGTGTGAGAGAGAGATATACCAACTAACCCCAGGGAGACAAGAGGACCAAGCGGCAGGAAAATGGAGGATATCTGGGTAGAAAGAGATTACCCAGGTGTGGTCAAGCAGCAAGCATTTATTAAGTTCCTGCTGTATGTCAGGGACTGTGCTAGGTGCACAAGAGGGAATCAAAAAACAAAAAGTGAAACCACTCTGGCTTTTAAGCAGGAATATCTGTCCATTTCCTAGAAGAAGCACTATAGTATAGTGGTAGCATATTAGACCAGAAGTCAGGAAGAACTGAGTTCAAATAGTCCCTCAGACATTTTACCAGCTGTGTGACCTTTAGACAGCTCACTTAACCTCTCACCATCCTGTAAAATAAGGCTAATAATAGCAGCTGACTCAGAGTTTTTGTGAGGAACAAATGAAAAAAAAGAAGGACGTGATGTTCCTTGTAAACCTTAAAGTGCTATATAATTTGTTATCTATTATTATCATTATTCCAAGGCTAGGGATCCACCCAAGTGGTGGATCCTAGCATCTTTGAAAGGATACCAATGTGGGGCAAATTGAAGAAGTCAAGTCGGGGCCCTGGGGATCCAAGAAGCCTGGCAATAGAGATTGTCAAGGTGGAATAAATAGATGTGACATTGAGCAATCTTCTTAGAAACCACCTCTAAAACCAGGCCAGATTGGAACAGGGACTGAAACCCAGGTCCCCAGGTAGTGTGTGTCTCACTTAGAGGAATCCTTCTGTCCCTCAAAGATTTGTGTATTAGGGATGTTTGCTATTTAAAGCAATTTTGCGGTGTGATGAAAGATTAGTCAAGGGAACTGAGTTTGGGTCCCTGTTCTGTCATTGGGATACTGCTATATTGTGGACAAGTTCTTTCATCTGTCTGGACCTTGGTTTCCACCTCTGTAAAATGGGAGTATTGAATACGATGATTCTCAACATTTCTTCCAGCTCTAAAGTTACATAATTCTGTAATTCCTTTTGTAAAGAGAAGCATGACCTGCTAAATTTATATGTGTTCAATCTGGATTTTCTGCAAGGGGGACCTAGCTGATCATGGCTCCTTGACTGGGCCTTTCTGGTCTGCCGAAATAAGATATGGGCCTCCCTTTGCTTTTTTGTTTTGTTTTGGTTTTTTGTTTGTCTGTTTGTTTGTTTTTGCTTTTAGGCAATTGGGGTTAAGTGACTTGCCCAGGGTCACACAGCTAGTAAGTGTCAAGTGTTTGGTCTGAGGCCAAATTTGAACTCAGGTCCTCCTGACCTCAGGGCCCTATCCATTGCACCACCTAGCTGCCCCAACAGGCTTTCAATTACATGTGTTTATTATTTTCATTAGTTGTTGTTGTCAGTCATGTCAGACTCCCCATAACCCCATTTTTTTGTTTTGTTTTTTTGGGCTAGGCAGTGGGGTTAAGTGACTTTCCCAGGGTCATACAGCTAGTAAGTGCCAAGTGTCTGAGGCAGGATTTAAACTCTGGTCCTCCTGACTCCAGGTGGGCCTCCCTTTGCAGAGTAGGTAAAGGAAAGGGGAAGAAAGGAAGGAGGGAGGGTAAGCAATTCTTCATAACCATGGACTCAATTGTGAGCTGCCCCTGCTACTGAAATGTTCTTCCGGGACCAACTTCAAACCTGAGTCCCCAGCCTTCATAATTTCCTCCTGCAGGCCTGAAATTAATCTTGGACATTGACCAGAAGGATTATGTCCACTACCTCACCTCCACAGCTGGGGTAAGACTGATGCTCCATGAGCAAAAGTCCTACCCTTTCCTCAAAGATACGGGTATCTACGCCATGCCTGGAACGGAGACCTCCATTGGCGTGCTGGTGGTATGTATACATTACCCCATTAGCCTTCTGTGAGAAGCGTTGAACTCTTGGGCGCACAGCCAAGGCCATGCCTGCTGAAACCGGAGAGGTGTTTGTAGAATGGGAGTGTTAAATGGCCTCCTGATCACAGTCAGCACTGTTTGCAGAAGGGCAGTTTGTGCATGGGTCTTCTCTAGAACCCTTTCCCCTGTTTTCCCTCTCCCCAGAGCTTCACTATTTTATGGAGTCTTAGGAGGGGCCCCACTCCAACATAGCCCCAACCCCCATCTGGCACTTGTCTGCCTGCAGCACTGGCCTCTCATCACCCACAGAGAAAACCTGACATCAGTCAGTACATATATTTAGTGCAATCCTTGTACCTGACATGGAACCATTTCTGGTTTGGGCTAACTTGGCTTTCCAAATGACAGAGGCTCCCAAAGGCTTCCCTCCCTAGCTTTGAAGTATGTTGTGAACCTTGTTCCCCTTCTCTGCCCTAAGGCTACTCTTCTCTGTTAGGATGTGAGCACCATGAGGGCAAGGAATGTGTTTTTGCCTTTCTTTGTATCCCCAGAGCTCACCACAGTGCCTGGCAAGATGTTGTTTGTCCTTTATTTGTGAAGAGGACTGATGACATCACAGGCAATGTCTTGACTTGTAAGTGAACTGGACTTAAGTGAGGCAGAGTCACACAAAATCATCAGCCTCACTGTCTCTTCCTGAGTCACTGAAGTCCAGTGGCAGGACAAAAGTCAAAGAGACTGGCAATGTCTTGGGATACAGTGGATGACCTTGGTATCTTCAATGCCTGACCAAGCTCCAAGCATTCCACAGTGCCTGCTTCAGCCCCGTTTGTGGCCATTGGAACTAATTGTTCTCATCTGCCCATTCCACCCAGAAAAATCTTCACATGATTAAGGTAGACATGCCCCTAACTCACCAATGGGTTTGAGGCCTATTGGTTACCTTCAACCTGATTTAGCCTGTCTGCAGAGATGGTTTACCAAGGTGTGACCACTGCACATGCTAACGGTTTCTTGGAGCTACAGGTGAGGGTTGGGAGGAGGCGGACACCAAAGGTGAATGAGCAGCCCTGAGAAGGGCTCGGCAGGCCCTCCCACCAGAGGCGCTAGTCCTCCCTGAACACCCCATACTTTTTGGCATGTAGTAAGTGCTTAATAGATGCTCACTAATCTAGGATGATTCTCAGACAAAAAAAAAAAAGATGCTCATTGACTGACTCCTTGTTTAACAATATCCCCTTAATGGGGAGCCATGGAAGGTTCCTAGTGGAAGTACATAATGTGGTCAGAAAGTATATTGGAAAAATAAGTTAATTTGACAATATGTGAGGGATGAATCAGAGGAGGGATTTTTCACCTTTTTTTGTGACATGGGCCTTTTTGGTAGTCCAGTGAAGCCTATGGACCTCATCTCAGAATAATGTTTTTAAATGCATAAAATGTAGGCATTTAAACTTATGCGTTTTATACAAAAAAACCCTAATTATATTGAAATAGTTATCAAAATATAGTTACTCCTGCGTGTGTGTGTGTGTGTGTGTGTGTGTGTGTGTGTGTGTGTGTGAGAGAGAGAGAGAGAGAGAGAGAGAGAGAGAGAGAGAGAGAGAGAGAGAAAGGGAGAGACTGAAGGCAGGAGATAAATAGCTCAAACACTGGCTCTTTCATTACCTAGCTGTATGACCTTGGGCAAGTCACTTCCCCTCTATGAGCAGCCAGTTTCCCCATCTGTAAAATGGGGTGTTGGACTAAGTGATTTTTTAAAATACTTCCCAGACTCCGGTTCTGTGGCCTCTGGGGCAATAACAAACAGCCCCAGAAAGGGGAAGCTTAATCTTTGTTCTTGGAGTGTTGGTGGCGTTGTGGGGGCGGGAGGCTAAGAATGGCCTAACTTTTTTAACTTTCTGACTTTTATGGATATGCTGGTAAACTTGGAATGACTGTCTAAAAGGTTCTTAAAGTGACTTGAATAGCCAGGAATTCCCTAAAGTTGTAAGTTCCTTTGTTCATTAATTCACACTCATTTATTAAGTGCTTATTGTATACCAGCCAGTGTGTTGGGTGCTGGAGATACAAAAACAAAATCATATATCCCCAAGGAGCTTACATTCTTCTTTTTTATATTATTATTTTTTATTGATTAATTTGTTTTTAGTTTTCAGCAATCACTTCCATAAGCTTTTGAATTTTAGATTTTCTCTCCCTCCCTTCTCACCTCCCTCTCCAAGACAGCGTGCAATCTGATATAGGCTTTGCATATACATTCCTATTAAATATTTTCACGTTAGTGATGTTGTAAAGAAGAATTAGAACCTCCAATAGGAGGAACCACAAGAAAGAAAAACAAAACAAAATAGAAGGGAAAAAAAGAGCAAATAGTATGCTTCAATCTACATTCAAACTCTGTAGTTCTTTCTCTGGATGTGGGTGGCATTTTCCATCATGAGACTCTTGGAGATGTCTTAGATCCTTGCATTGCTGAGAAGAGCTAAGTCTATCAAAGTTATTCATCCAATGTGGCTGTTACTGTGTACAATGTTCTCCTGGTTCTGCTCACTTCACTCAGCATCAGTCCATACAAGTCTTTCCAGGTTTTTCTGAAGCCCGCTTGGAGCTTACATTCTTCTAAAACTGTGCTGTATTTGGGTTTCAGGATAAACTAGAGCGGATGGGTGAGCCCTATAGCCATTGCACCATCAATGGATCCGATGTTCAGATCCCCAACCTCTACAGTGAGTTTAACACATCCTACTCAATACAGGTAAGGTATTATAGATAATAAAAGATCTACTCACTTTGGAACATAGTATACTGTCATTATGGCACAAAGAACAGTTATTAGTGATGAGGTATCTAAGTAAAATGAAATACTTATTGTATTTAATTATTAACTAGTATTTACTGATAAGTATATCAATTTGAAGATAGAACTATGGGTTATATAGGCCAATTAATGAGCAGGGAAGAGAAAATGTTGGCCCTGATTGTTACGGTATGGTGTCACTGTGGCTGAAATGTTACTGGCCTTTAACATTCCTCTAGACTCTCCAAAAATCCGCCTTAAATCCTCAACCATCATTATCATGCTTTTAGGGGATATAGTAGAATCCTAGTAAGCTAGATGTGGAAGGAATCTTGGGAAAACAGTTACGGGCTCATATACCATAAATTCAGATCAAAACAAACCATAGAGACCGTTCAGTCCAACCCTTCTCATTTGATAGATAAGAAAACTGAGGCCTAGATGGGTGGGGTGATTTGCCTAGGGCCACAAAGGGAGCAAGTGGCAGACTCCATCTTCAATCAACTTAAGTTGATTTCAAATCCAACACTCTCCTATGTAGCACTGTCTCTCCATCTACTGTACTCTCTCCCTGAAAATGAATCCCCTCTATAAAATCCCCAAGTAGTCATTCAGCCGTCCCTTGAAGATCTCCAGTGGGGCAGAACTCACTACCTGGGAAGGCAACCCATACCATTTCTAGGTAGCTTTGTCAGGAAGCTTCTTCTGTTGAGCCAAGCTATTTCACCTCCTGCTTCTAAGTTTGCCCCCTGGGACCAAAAAGAGCAAATCCAATCCTTCTTGTATAAGACGACCCTTTAGTCAGTGTGTTGAGAATTTGTTTTCCAGGGTTTTATTTTTCTTTTTCCAGTGATGGAGGGGAGGAACATGTGGAGAAGAATAAATAAATGCTTAATAATCTTCAAAATAAAATTTAATTTAAAAAATTAAGAAGAAAGAGCAATGAATTTAGAATCAGAGATCTGGGTTTAAATTTTATCTTTGCCACTTACTGTCTGTGTGACCTCAGGAGTGGTTTTGTTTTGGTTTATGGTCTAGACCTATAATGTAGGGAACTCCCTGGTAAGGAAAATCCCTCTATCAATATAGGTCAGCAACACGTCTGTACCTAAGTAGATTAGGGTACTGAAGGTTAAGTGAGTTGCCCAGGATCACACAACCAGTATGTGTCAGAGATGGGACTTGAACGCAGGTCTTCCCGACTCCAAGGCTAGCTCTTTGTCCACTACACAATGCTGACTCTCTTTTGTTGTTGTTGTTGATGTTTTGTTTGGGGGGTGGGAGAGATTGGAGGCAATGGAGAATAACTGACTTGCCCAGGGTCACACAGCTAGTAAGTGTCTGAGGCCAGATTTGAACTCAGGTCCTCCTGACTCTAAGGACAGTGCTTTTATCCATTGTGCCACTGAAGCATCTCTGAGTTTCAGTTTCTTCATTTTATTAAATGAGAGAATTGGATTAGATTACTTCTCAGGTTCCTCCCAATTCTAAAACTATCTTATTTGTCCTTCTCCACGCAAAGCAGCTCTAATTACTTCCACTAATCTTTGCATGGTTTGCAAGGTTTCCAATGCCCTTGTCATCCTGGTCACCCTTTTTTAGACACACCCAAATTGTCAATGTCCTTCTTAACAGGAGGTACCAAGAACTGAACACAGTACTCCTTGTGGAAGGTAGCCTAGAGCTGAGTGTAGGGGAACTATCATCTCCTTCATTCTGAGCACTGGGTTTCTCCCAAATGCAGTCTAAGATTGTATGAAAATTTCAGCCTGATAGAGGGATAGCATCTTAACAGTGAGAACTTTCCAGGGAAATGAACTGCATTTCAAGGAAGTGAGTTCTGTCTCACTGTAGTCTTCCCCCAAAAGTCTGAATGACCTCATTTGTTAAGGATATAATAAACAAGATGCTTGATTTGGGTGTGGGTTGGACTAGGTGACTTCTGAGATTCCTCCCAACTCTAAGTCTGTGATTCTGTACCACCCACCCTTCTGTCATCGGCAGATTTGTAAAGAATGCCATCTGTCTTCATCAAAGTCTTTTAATAAAGTTGTTCAACAGAACAGAACCAAGAGTAGAACCTAATGGTACCCCTTTAAAAAGTCCCCCCAGGCAGACATAAACTTTATTTATTACTACTCTCTTGGATCTGTCATTTAACTAGTTTCAAATCATGTAATGTAGTCCACACAGCTCCATCTTATCTTCAAAGGGTATCACAAGAAACTTTGTAAAAATTCCTTGTTGAAATCCAGGCGTACTGTGTACATAGCATTTCCCAGATCCACCAGTCCAGTAATCCTGTCCAAAAAGGATGTTTGGTTGGTCAAGTATGACTTGTTCTTATTGGACCCATACTGTCTCAAAGTGTGTGTCACCACTTCCCTAAGTATGCACAAACCATCACTTTAATAATCTATTCTAAATTTTACTAGGAATAGTGTCGAACCCAATGGCCTATACTCTTTTTTTCCCCAAAATTTATGTTTTTTTGTCTATTAAAAATTACATTTTATTTTTTCCAATTAGCAAAAAATTTGCCTTCTCACCCCAAGCCCCAAGCTTTCCTTCCTCTCTAATTGAAGACTAAAGAAAAACAAAACCCATTACAAATATGTATGATCAATCAAAATTAATTTCCACATTAACTGTGTCCAAAAAAAATTTATCTCATTCTGCACTGGGTCCCTCACCTCTCTATCAGGAGGTAGGTAGTATATTTCGTTATTAGTTCTCTGGAATCATGGTTGGTCATTACATTAACAGTTCCTGATTCCTTCAAAGTTGTTTGCCCTTACCATATTGTTGTCATGGTATAAATTGTTTTCCTCATTCTGTTTACTTTGTTCTGCATCAGTTCACATAAGTCTTCCCATGTTTCTCTGAAACCATCCCCTTAATAATTTCTTTGTTGTGGTTGAGTCATTTCAGTTGTGTCCGACTCTCTGTGACCCCGTTTGGGGTTTTCTTGACAAAGATACTGGAGCGATTTGCCATTTTTCCTTCTCCAGCTCATTTTATAGATGAGAAACTGAGGCAAACAGGGTTATGTGACTTGCCCAGGGTCACACAGCTAGTAAATGTCTGTGGCCAGATTCGAACTCAGGTCCTCCTGACTCTAGGGCTGGCACTCTATCCACTGAACCACTTAGCTGCCCCTGATCATTTCTCACAACATAATAATATTCCATAACATTTATATACCATAACTTGTTCCTCTCTTCCCCAATTTATGGGTACCCCCTCAGATTCTCATTCTTTGGGACCTCAAAAGAGCTGCAAATATTTTTGTACGTGTATTTGTTTATTCTTCCTTCCTTTAATTAGTTCAGATGAGAGTGAGGTTGAAGTGTCACTTGCTCTCCCCACCCTTTCTTCTTCGTTTGTATAGATGTCTACTTGAGCACCCTGCTTATGTGAGATAATTTTCCCTAACCTTCCATTCCCTTCCCCCTGCCCCCACCCCACCCAGTGTATTTCTCTTCCCCTTTCTTTCCAGTCTTCTTTTAAGACCATGAAGACATAACAGAACCATTCCCAGGATTTGTCTAATTAGATTCTTTCTATGATCCTGATGGTGATTAGATTCAGAGGGTATATGTATCTATCTATCTGTATATATCTGCAGATATATACAAATATGTAGATATATAGCTATAGATATCACTTCCTCATATTTGAATTAAGCCATTTATTCTGTTTACAAGAGAACTTTAGCATACTCTGCATTATTTTATGTTACGTGATAACCTACTGTTTTTCCTAACCTATACAAGTAATATACCAAGCTTTATAGATCATTTTGCATTGTGCATTTTATTGTTTTTCTAAAACTTTTCTAAATGAGCATTTAGGGAAACCAATCATTTTCCCATTGCATTTTCTTTTGTGTGAACATATCTACTAGGATCTATATAAGCATACCCAAATACGAGATTCTTTAATAAGTCACTACCAAATAAATTGCCTGCTTAGTGAATTAGCCTGTATGCTCTTTGCAAAACATCCATGTTTGTATGTAGTTCCTTCAAAACTCCAGAGGTGGCCCCACCAATGTCTAAACCTTTGAAAATGTTGAATCTTGGAATTTTTAACAATTTCACAATCATGTAAATAAATGTATAAATAAAATTTACTTTGAAGACTTCAAAAAAAAACCCACCTCATGGAGAGTTAAATATTCTCTCAATCAAGGAGTTACTGAGCAGGAGTGTTCTATTTCTTATTCTTCTGGTCACCCAAAGCCATTACTGCTATGAGGGTAGACGGAAGAGATAACAGGGTCTCAACTATAAGTTCCGAGTCCTGTCTTCTTTGGTTGGCCCAAGGGACAAAATATGAACTCAAACCTTTAAGACAAAGCTCTTTCTTCCAAGAACCTGGACTGGCCTGGGCTAATCTCTGGGGAATCCTCATTCTCCCTAAGGAGCAGAAGGAGTTTCCTTAGACCACACTGTCCCCTGAAAGGCAGAACCACTTGCTCTGCAGGCCCCACTACATTTTTGTTCAAAATGGTGAAGTTTGCCAAAGGATTTGGCCTTAGGAAATGCTCCTGAGTTCTGTAGAAGCCAGACCCTTGGCTCCATCTATGAACTTGGACTGGTTTTCTCATGTGTCCCATTGTTTCCTTCACGGCCTGTCTTGGATGGTAAGAATTTGGGCCGGGTAGGAGCTTGCTCCCAACAGGTCTGTGAATATGGGGCACAGGGCACAATCATTAAAGGGCAAAGTATTCTGTGATTAATTCCTAGATCCTAATAATTTGTTATAAAGGACTCCAAGATCAAAAGGCAAGTTAAACTTTTAGGATTAAGACATTTAAGGGTTCAAGAATCCAAGACCTCCACAAATTCCTGTTCCAAAGAAGTTGTTCTTCATGTCTAATCTAAATCCTGCTTTCCATATTTAAGTTGATTCCTCTTGTTTGCTGTAGGCTTGGTAATAAGTCTATTTTGGGG